TGTGCCTTTTGCTGCTGCCTCTCCTCACGGCCCTACGCAGCTCCCGCTGCAGCAGTCGCTCTTCAGCAGCAGCAGCAGCAGCAGCAACATGACGCGGCGGTTCGCCACCCCACAAGGGGCCTTGCCAGCGCCCTTCGTGAAACAGCTGCCCAACAGGCATTTGCAGCAGCTGCTGCAGCTTTCCCCCAATCCGCAGCAGCAGCAGCAGCAGCAGCAGCACGAACCAGAGGAGACTACGGTGAGATTAGGCTGCGCTATCAGGCCCGTCAGTTGCTGCTGCTGCTGCTGCTGTAGGAAGAATTAATCCCTTGCTGCTGTTGCTCCACTTCTCCCGCTCCCCCGTGCGCCTCCAGCTCCGCCGCTCTTGCTGCTTCTGCTGCTGCTTCTGCTGCTGCTGCTGCTGCTGCAGCAGGAGCTTGAGCCTGAGGCGGAGCCGTGGGATGGCCGCAGGGCGCCGCCGGGCCGTTTTTGTCTTCGCCTTTTTTTTGATATTGGATATGAAGAAGAAGCAGTTGTTAATGCCCTTGTCAAGTCAGCAGCAGCACTTGCTACTGCTGCTGCTGCTGCTGCTGCTGCTGTTGATGCCGCTGCGTCTGCTGCGACGGCCTTCAGCGCTGCTCGCGGTGCAAGTTCGACAGCGGTAGCTGCTGCTGCTGCTGCTGCTGCAGCGGCTACCGGGGCTACTACTGCTGCTGCTGCTCCAGCTCATGCTGCTGCTGCTGCTGCGGTGCTGCTGCTGCTGCTGTGCTGCAGACACATAAAGGAGCTGACCAGAGAAGACGCGAAGTCTGTTTGGCTCGGTTTGCAGCGCCGTGGGCAAATCGAAGTTGGAAAATTTCCTGATCCGGTTTGCTGTTGGTGCTGCTGCTGCTTTTGGTGTTGCTGCTGCTCTTGCTAGTGCAGTCTTTGCTGCTGCTGCTTTTTCTGGTGCTGCGCCTGCTGCTGTTGCTTTTGCTGCTGCTGCTCTTGCTGTTATTTCCCTTTAAGCTTGAATATGCTGCTGTAGATGCGGTTTGGCTGCTGCGAGTAGTGCTCCTGCTGCTGCTGCAACTTTTCTCCTGCTGCAGTTGAGCTGTTCAGGCGCTTTTGCTGCTGCGCTGCTTCTGCTGCTGTTGCTGCTGTTGCAGGTGGTAGCGTCTGCTGCAGCAGATTTGCTGCAGGCCGAAGCAGGAGTCTACAGCGAGGTGGCTGCTCTTCCAGATAAGAACTAAAAGAAAGAAACAAAATTAAGTTTTAAATTAAAGAAACAAAATGAGAAGAAGCAGTTAACAAAAAAAGGAGAGGCAACAGTGATTTAGAGCAGCAGCTGCAGCAGCAGCAGCAGCAGCAGCAGCGGTTGCAGCAGGAAGAGACAAATGATCGAAAGAACTTCTAGGAACTCCACTGAGGAGCCACTGCTTCTGCTGCTGCTTCTGCTGTTGTTGGTCTTCGGCGTGCTCCAGTTGTTGCTGCTGGTGCTGCTGCAGTGCCAGCAGCAGCTGCTGCTGCTAGTGCAGTGCCAGCAGCAGCTGCCGCTGCAGAGCAGAGCTGCTGCAGCGTGTGGGCTCAATTGGGTTGGAATATTTGAATAAATAAAAAGGAAAAAATGATTAAATGAATTATAAAAATCATTTGTTGAATAATCGATTAGCCACAAAAGGTGCGCATGCGCTCTGCTGCCAGCAGCAGCAGCAGCGGCACCAGCAGCAGCAACAACAACATAAATAGCAGCAGCAGCAGCAACAACAACATAAGTAGCAGCAGCTGCAGCAGCAGAAAGAGCACCATCAAACACGCCAGCAGCAGCACCAACAACAGCAACGGCAGCAGCTGTTGCGACCGCTGCTATTGCTGCAGCAGCAGCAGCAGCAGCTTCCAGTTTTAGAGGGAAGTGTCCACACACCGCAGTGATGGCAGTTATTTATGAACAACCAATTAATTTAAAACCAAGTTTTATTTTTCATTTATTTATTTGTTGGCTGTCAGATCTATTTTATTTGAGTCTGTTTTTGCTTCTCAGGAGACAATTAATTCGTGAACAGGTTTATTATTTTATTTTTATTCTTTTTAATTTTTAATTTTCTGAATTTCCGTTTTTCTGCTGCTGCACCTGCCGGTGAACCAGCTGTAGATACACCTGAAGGCCTAGCAGCTCGAGCTGCACATAGACGAAAATCTCCAAAAGTTGCATAAAATGTGCATTTAAACATTTGTAACTTTGCGTATTTCCTAATAAATGCATTCATATTATTTATATCGGTGCATTTGGCAAAGAAAGTGCTTTTAAAAGCCTGCAGATCGAGGTGCGTGTGCGTGCCGCTGCATGCGTTCGGGTGTACATACACCTGGATACACTGATGCGAAAGATGCATGTGAAGAAAGTAAATACATTTAAACGTTTTTTGCCTTTTGTAAATCTGCTGCTTTCAATTAAAAAGACAAAAAGACGCAAAAAGGACTCCAAAAGTCCCAAAATAAATTCCATTTGAAAAGAAAAACTGCATCGAGAGTGGCCAGGAAACTCCGGGTGTATGTAGCCTCTCTGCACTGTGTGGCCAGGTGTCTGTACACCTGAACACATAAATGCGTTAAAAGAGTTCCTTCAACTTCCCGGATAAGTCCATTAGAATTAAAAATCCTTCCTTGTTTCTTTAGAATAAATCCATTAGAATTAAAAATCCTTCTTTGTTTCTTTAAAAGGTACTTTTTTTGTTTTCCTCTTCGCCATATAATTATGCTTATAGATATGCATGCACCCGTATGTACACCGCAATAATATGGTAAAGAAAACCTTCCAAAATTTGCATGCATGTACACCTGTTTTAAACTTCTAAATTTGCCGTTTATCTGAACTTGTGTTATTTATAAATGAATATTTAAATACATATTTATTAATTTTGAATACTTATTTATAATAGATATCCATAGATGTATTTATCATAGGTTACGGAACCATGTTGCATGCAAAGTGCATGCATCACAGACATTTAATTTGTATTCTTTCACATTTATAAATGCATATTTAAATACATTTTATAAATACATATTCAAACAAATATTATAAAAGCATATTCAAATATATAGTATAAATTAAATGCACATTTTTAGACATATTTCTATAAATATGTATGCATATATTGCATGCATAAATACATTTAATATAAACATTAGATCCTCCACAACTATTAAACTGCATTAACCTTTTATTATTTTATTTCATTATTCAATAACTACTGTATTATCTTTAATTTCATTACTTTTTATTTCAATTTGCATTTGCATTTATTAGCTGCAAATGGAGAACAAATCTGTATTTAAACATTTTTAAAAATGTATAAAACACTTCAAAAATATTTTAATTTAAATTCTTCTTTTTACGCATGCAATTTGTGGCCCCATTTGCAGTGTACGTACACCTCAAAGTGCTGCTGCACTTTCTGAGGTGTATGTACACCCTGATGTTGAGGTGTATCGACACCTGGAAATGGACGAAAACAAATAAACGAAAAACAATAAATTAACTAAATAATTAAAAATTGAATTTAACTTGCAAATTAGGAAATAAATAGAGTGGTGTATTCTCGAGGCTCAACAGCCGAGCAAGAGCAGCAGCAGCAGCAGCAGCTGTTGCTGCTGCTGTAGGTTGGCAGCAGCAGCAGAAACAGCCGCTACAATTGCAGCAAAAGCTGCTACAGAGGCGCACGGAACAGCAGCATTTCACTCAGCGATAGCCGCAGCAGCAGCAACAGCAACTCTACCAACCGCAGCAAAAGCAGCAGCAGCAAAAGGAGCAGCAGCAACTATTGCTGCAGCTACCTGCACACCAGACTTCCGGGGTGCTCTTCACGCTGTGCCTGTAGCTAGCTAGCTAGCTAGCTAGCTACACAGCCAGCTAGCTAAGTAGCTAGCCAGCCAAGTAGCTAGCTAGCTAGCTAGCTAGCTAGCTAGCTAGCTATTCTGCAACAATAGCTCAGTCTTCAAGAAAACATGTGTCTTGTGAAGTCGTAGTTGTGCAGCAGCAGCAGGTGGGGCAGCTAATTGCTGCCGCAGCAGTTGCTGCAGCAGTTGCTGCTGCTACTGATTGTCGCGGCCGCTGCAGCAGCAGCTGCAGTTGAAGCAGCTGCAGAAGCAGCAGCAACAGAAGTAACAGCAGCGGCTGCTGCTGGACTGCAGCCACGGAGCTGCTGCAGCCAGCGCTGCAGTTGGTGCAGCAGCAGCAGCTGCTGCAGCAGCAGCAGCTGCTGCTGCAGCAGCGGCGTGCAGGTGCAGCAGCTGCACGGCTCCTGCTCGCTGCCTGCAGCGGGGAGGGTCCCAGCAGCAGCACCGGTGTTGCTGCTGCTGCTGCTGCCGCTGCCGGCGCTGCTGCTCATCCGCCCTCCGGTTCTGCTGCTTTTGCTGCAGCGACGGCTTCGAGGGCCTGCTGCAGCGCAGCAAGCTGCTGCAGCGACAAATCTTGTGCTGCAGCAAGGAGTTTGCTGACAGCAGGGTCTTCAATGGTAGCTAGCTGGCTGTCGGCGCAGCTAGCTGCAGCGTCGTCCGTTGCGCAGTAGCTAGCTGGCTCTTCGTCGCCGGCTGCTGCTGCTGCTGCTGCTGCTGCTGCGTCTTCGCCGCTGCTGCTGCCGGGCTCGGGGCTGGCGGCGCGGGCCCGCGGGCTGCGGGCGCGGCGCCTGGAGCGCTGCAGCAGCTGCTGCAGCTGGTGCTGCTGCTGCTGCGCAGTTCTTCTTGCTGCTGCTTCTGCTTCTCCCACTTGAGGCACAAAAGTCTTTTGATAAAGAAATGTAAAAAGGCCCATCACCACTTGGCAGTCAAAGCGGTCCGTCACTCCCCCATGGCCCGGAATGAAGTACCCGAAGTCCTGCGCAGCAGCACCGCAGCTAGCTAGCTAGCTAGCGGGCTAGCTGGGCAAGCGCTGGCTAGCTAGCTGGCTACTGGCTCGCCAGCTGGCTAGCTAGCTGGCTAGCTAGCTGGCTAGCTGGCTGGCTGGGTAGTGGCTAGCTGGCTAGCTAGCTAGCTAGCTGGCT